CATTGGTCTTTTTTCTTGACACAGATTTGCGCTGAAATCTGCCCATATTTTTTCTGGGACACAAGATTGGAAGAGGATCTGATGCCTCTGAGGCATTTCTTGTTTTGTGCACCGGATGTTGATCTTTACAGCATCGGCATGACCCACGCGCGGATTCAGCAGTTGATTCGTGCTGGAGTTTGCGGTGGAATTTATGCGCCCACAATCACAGGTGAAAAATAAAAAATAAAAATCAATAAAAGTTGCATACTTCTTTGAGAAACTTCAATACAGCAATAAAGAACCGGAAAACGTCGATTATCTACTGAGCTTTCTTGATTAAAACCGTGCTTAAATTTATATAGTCGACTGACGAAGGAAAGAAATGAGCCTCAAATGACCTTGAAATCGTTTGCTTTTTTTTTGCCACCCCATGTCGGATCAAATGACGTTGCATTTTTTTCATTAATCAAAATTACTACATGATTAACTTCGCATCAGGAAGAATTTGAGAAAAATTCGGCGAAATTCAACTTAAAAGCAAAAAACATTTTTAATGACGAAAAGGTCTCGAAGGAAAATTTCATCGGATAGACGTGTTGCTTTTTTATTTCCGTGATCATCCCTAATATATTTCCTGTGTGAAACTGCAGTTGATTCATTACTTTTTTCATTCGGGATTAATTAAAATTAAATCGTGATGCATTATTATAATTCAGTCTGTGATGGAAGCCTTATAAATAAGTTGTCCCTGGATCAAGAATTGTTTTTAAAAGTGTTTATTTACTGTTTTTTCTAAGTTTCAGAAAATGAAGCTAATTATTCATGGAATTTTCAAATGACACTTGTCTTCATGTCTACAAAGAAACACAATAACTTATGAAGCATCATCCCAGATTCACAATTTGTTAATTGATCCAAATTGTTTCCAGAAGTCTCTGTATTCTGGTTCTGATGAGGACATCATGTTTTGTACAAATCATTGACGCAGAAGTTACGTAGTTGTACTACCAGCATGAAAAATGCATACAAATAATGACAAAAACATATCTAAACAAACAAGAATTAACCGATGTTCATCAAAATTGAGAGCATTTATTAAAGGGGTATTTCCTAAAAAATGTACAGTTTGTTGGAAGTTGCATTAGCCTTAATGACTTGAATATTTCCAAATGAGATGATTATTCTTCATTGCGTTTTTTTGCCGAAGCAACGAAAAAAAAAAAACGTTACAGGCGACTCCGTTCTGAGAAAAAGAAAAACGTTGGCTATGCAAGTCATCGTAATCTGAATCACCTTACATATATATGTGTCTGAAATTCTCAATACAGTGGACAACATCTGTTATCCGAGTCCGATTCTGCGTCCGAAAATCTTCGACGACGATAATGAGACGGAAATCAACTTTCCCCGGATGGGCATGACGAGTTTGGCGAGCGCGAAAGGGATTGCCAAAACGTTGATCGAGTCGTCGGAAGAAAGAGGCTTTGATTACACATATGCCTGGGTCCAGGTTCGACAGCCATTGTATCAAGCATTGCTGTCGTCCATTCATGCAGTTTGGATCGCCGCCATCTTGAGTCTCATCGCATTCGTAGGCATGTTCTTCCATGTCAAAGTGGCGTTTTGCGTCGTTTCTGCTGCGGGACTCGCCAGTCAAGTCATTGGTTTGAGACTCTTTTTTTCTTGTATTTCAAACGCAATTCATCACTAAAGTTCCTTTACAGTGCCAGCTGTTTAGTTATTTTTAAACTTCGAAATTTGTAACACGTACAGCCAGCAAAGGTTGGGACACGTACTGCTGTAGATTGATATAGGCAAGTGAATCACAAAAATAACAATTGCAGCTACTTCTGTATTTTTTTTAATAGATATCCAATTATCTCGTATTTAATTCATATTTCCGAGTGTTTTCACATTTTGCTTGTCTTTTTTCGCATTTTTATCAACCCACCATGCGTAAATTTTCAAAACTGACTCGCACAAAAGCACCGGACTTCTTTTTTCTCATGCCTTCTTTGTGATGCCGTTATGATCATAAAAACGCAAGTAAATAAAGGCGATATAGACTCGTTTGTTTGATTTAAAAAATAATTACACGAGCAAAAATTGAATCGATGAAGTACAGTACTTAAAACCATCCATAGGAATAATCTAGAAGTTCTCCGGCTATCTATATTATATGAGAGGCTTTTTTTTGCTGAAGTAATTTTAAATTCTCCGTTCACAGTTTTTAGTTTCCTCATGTTAGAGTAGACCTGTGCATCATAAGTACTGTATAACATTTGTTAATTTTATCCAGACGAAGCAAACGCCATGCATTTTACATGCCACGCGTTCATTTCTTCGGAAATTAGGCACGAAAAATTCGTTGCATTTCTTAAATAAATTTAAATACACCGGAGCACAATGGGATTTTTAAAATTACTTTATGGGAATAAAATGGATTTCACTTTATTTTTTTTTCAGCGGGACTCTTGTTGATCATTTCGAGTGTCGACGATTTGTTGTTCTTCGATGAATCAACATGGTCGGTTTCCTCTCGAGCTTTTCGCATTCGAATGCAGAAATTCGTCGGTCTGTTCACATTATCCCTCGCAATCGCAGCTTTGGCATTTTTCTTGACCACATTTTTCGTACTCACGTGCACTCGGCGGAAATTCAGTTTCACCCTGGACATGATCCACGTTGTCAATAGGTGGAAATTTGGCGCTGCCTTTCCTTAATTGACTTGATATTTCTTATCTTTTAATTGTTCATTTGTTTATACTGTACTTCACTATCATTTGTCAGACGGATCTGGAAAACCCCGTGCTTGCTACCTGTGATCGTCTGGTTTTTGATCATTCGTCTGGGAGTGTACGCTTTAGGTGCTATCCAAGTTGTGGCGATTTTCTCGGCTGCGACGAAAGCAAGAGCGGTCAACTGCACTTCTTCCGACTCCACGCCTGTGCGTGATGTTAATTTCTCTGTTAGTTTCGATTTCCTACTTGTTATATGGGATCTAAGTATAAGTTCAGAATGGGATACAAGGTTTTTAGAATTCCTGACTATTTTACATTAATTGAAACGTTTTTTTTTTAGAATCCGCAGCGTCTGAACAGCGACCTTGATTCCAGTGTAGCTACGATGATAGTTTGATGCGCTGGTCTGAAAATATCCTGTTATTCAAATGATTTGAAATTCAGTATTTTCTGCAATCGATCATTTTTCTATGATTGGGGTATGATCAAAATTCAAAAGTATTTTGACTTTAGAGCATGGTCAAACGTAGTTAAT